ATTTTTATTCCACTTCCATTTTTATTCTATTTCCTTTTCTATTCAATTTTCTTTTTCTATTTAGTTTCCAAATAGATCGTTAACGTTTAGTGGTTTCTTGGATGAACTTCCATATATCCCTACCTCAAAGTTTGAGCTCCAATGGAGATGAAGACCAAAACCAAAATGCTTCAAATTCTGAAATTTTCAGATTAAAATGTAGCCCTCGACGATCAACACAACTTTCGTAAAGACCAAAAGTGAGCAAACAACTCCTACTAGATCAAATCTAAGAGAGAAGGGCCGGTTTTAGAGTGAGAAGCTCTGAAAATGGCTTTTTGGAAAAGTAAGAGAGAGAAAAGATCTTGAAAAAGTGATCCAAAAGTCGGATCTCGGATTTATATAAAGGTCGCCCCGCTCGAGCGTCAAACTCCCCGCTCGAGCGGCACTCACAGACTCCAGCTCGAGCGGCCAATCCCCCGCTCGAGCTCCGGATGCACACTCCCAGCACTATTGCAGACAGGTCTCCCACTCGAGCTTCCAACTCCCCGCTCGAGCGGCACTCACATAATCCCGCTCGAGCGGCCAATCCCACGCACGAGCGTCGAACACTGCACAGGAAATACTGGATGGGTGAAACTCCCGCTCGAGCGCCAAAACCCCCACTCAAGCGGACAGGTCAAAATCTGGGCAACTAGTTTTGGTTTCTAATCTCAACCAACCTGTAACAAACCTGCCCAACACATCCTATAACTCAAATACAAAGTAAGAAAGGATGTACACCAGGTAATAATCAACTACCATCATCCACAGACACATGTCCGGATCACTGTACAACAAGGGTAAACCCGGGATCGCTATAACCTCCCCCCTTAAAGAATTTCGTCCCCGAAATTAAACACAAGTTCAAAAATAAATTTTCCCCATGTCCAACAATATTACGACATGATATTTAAACATTTCAACCCATTACCGGTCAATTCCATCCCTTTTCAAGAGGCATTTCACAACATATATTACAAGTGCATTATTATCATGCAATTTCCTTCCATTTCCAACCATTTTCAACATGCTTGGTTCACGGTTCATATCATTATCAATATACATGATACAACTCCAATTCTACAATATAGTCAACATATGCAATATCATAATCAACTTTCCATATCAAGGTAAGTTCTACAACATACTTCCATTAAACCAAAACACTACCAATGTTTTACAACTTAAGACATATATAAAGCTCTTAAGTCCAACAATACTACAAAGTCTAAATACAAGATTACACATCAATAAACATGTCCGGATATTTCTCGCGGACCTCCAACTCACGTTCCCAAGTGGCCTCCTCCACTCCGTGATGTTTCCACAAGACTTTCACCAAAGGAATGGTCTTGCCACGCAGGACCTGATCCCGCCTATCCAAGACCCGAACCGGTCTCTCCTCATACGAGGCATCCTCATCTACCTCTAAATCAGTCCAATCCAGCACATGTGATGGATCTGGCTCATACTTCCGAAGCATACTCACATGAAACACGTCATGCACTCCGGATAACTGCGAACGGATAGGCATATAAGCACTAACCACATTCTCAACAGATATGTATAACAACAATATCCACAGATAAGCACACAAGCTGTATCCACACTTCACTAGACAAGGCATAAGAGCCCTATCTTCACTTCTCTAGACAAGCATATGAGCTCTGTCTACGGAGTACATCCCCTATCTCCTCCAAATACCTATCCGGTTTAGAGGTACATCCCCCATCTTCCCCTAAACCGCTACTAGGATCAATAAAATCCTCTGCAGGTCCCTCAGGATCTCCAGTTTGGACTACAAAACCATCAGCTGCAACAAACCAAATAGAATCCCGCAGCCTTGTGAGGCATAGCTAAAATTCTAAATCTTTATTTTAAGCATATATATATATATATATATATTAAGTAGTTAAAAAAAGGTGAAATCAATATCTCACCTCTTTGGATTTCCATGCCATCATAAAAATGCCTTTCCACCAAATCTACAAAATTTCCGGCAGTTACTAGAGCATTATAACCATCCAGGACAATGCAGCACACACACACAAAGGTTAGGATTGTCCTTAACCTTGACCTTCATATTTACAGTGGCTCTTCCTTTCAATAGAGGCATATTTTGGTATTCTTCAGGCACTTTGTACGGGAAACCATCCACCATATCCTCTTCAACACTGCAGAAACCCAATGCCCCAGGAAGATCTCAGCTGCAGTCAATGACAAGGTATATATGAGAAATAGTTAATTTTAAGAAGATTTATTACTACAAGTCCTTCCTAACCCCTATTTTTGAATGAGGACATACTCTAAGAAAAGGTAAGACATTCTCACTAACAATCCTGTTATATATTTAATTCTATTTTCAGATAGTCATGATAAACACCTTGTACCTATGGCAAACACCTTGTACCTATAGCAGACACCGAGATAGCAAACTGAAGCATAAACGAAATTTTCAATTATTCAGTTAAACAAACAAGATTAACCAGGAAGTCGAAAAGCAACATAGCCTCCGTTTGGGAAGCAAATTTTGGGTTAAAATAGCCATATAAGACAAAATAGGCTATTTTAGCCTAATAAGACAAAACATCACATCCAACCCATAATCATTACATTCTTTCTCTCACAAAAAAAGTCAAAAAAGTCAAAAAAGCCAAAAAAGCCAAAAGCCCTTCCCAAACTAGGCTTTTTAGCCCCAGGCTAAAATAGCCCAAAAAGCCAAAAAACCAACCCACTTCCCAAACGGAGGCATAGTTTACTTGTTGAGGAGGTAGAAATTATCAAACTGTGGTCAGTGAAGTCAGCCTATGGTGTGACCTTCCAAATAAAACTTGGGCTAAGTTTTGGCAGGCCATAGAAAGTAGCAACAACACTATACAGTTCCACTGACGTTGGTCTACAAGCACTAATAACACAAGTTACCGTATTATATAAGATCATAAACCTAACTTCATCACAAAGTTAGATTAGATTTTATGTCAATCGAAAGTGAAATCTTTGATATCAGAGTGCTTTGCGAAGTATCACAAAATAGAAGATTTGAAGGTGCCTAATAATTTAGTTTCTTCCCCCACATTTTCCGCTAAATGAATTTGAATATGAGTTCCCACTGGCCCCTTACTCAGGTTACTTAGTGCCCATATAGAATAAATTCAAATTTGTATGGCACTGCTCACAAAGGTACTGGCCAAACTGGGAAATGCCTTTAGGCCTTAAAACTCAAATTTGTGGATACTTTTTTGGTTCAAATGCAAGGGCACGGTGTTAAAGATGCCATATATTCCAACTAATAAACCTATATCTAGCTCACCACCACATATACGAGACTCAAACAAATTTCTTAAATACGATGTTTTCCCATTTTAATTTTGCCACATCATCCTACAAAGACTTCTAAACTTGTTTGTGAATTGTGACTACTGATTATCAATTGAGAAAATATAATGTCATAACCAAGCATCAAGGTTCATGGCCTACACATGTTATCTTCAACCAATGTAACAATCTTACCCTAGTCATAATTGTCATCTTCAAAACCTATTGAATCCTTAACCAAGCGAGTTTTTTGTACTCACCCTCCAACAAAATTAAGCAGCTCCTTCTGTTTAGATTTGAAGCTCACCCATGCCATCTTCAAGGTTGCCAAGCAATTCAATCCCATGGTCCTTCTTTGATTCAGCCAATCCCGAAACAAGTAGACTTTTACCCTGCTTAAGAGCCCGAGAGGCTTGCCTCACATTCTACAAATCACAAAAACACAATTATACATCACCATTGATGATCTAATTCATTATCATCACAAACAAAACCAAATTCTTACTCTTTCTACAGAATCAAGTGCTTTGAGTCCAGCAATCTTGAGACTGTCAGTGATATCTTTAAGTGGCTATTGAACCTCCCTTATAGCTTTATTGTCAATAGGCAAAGCGTAGCTCAACAACGCTCTCAGATCCTGGCTTGGCGGCCTTGAGATCAACCCCGACAACTCTAGCAACACCGCCGGAGTAGCTGCATTGGCATAATTACACCAATCCAATGCAGATACGACGGTGAACCAGGTGCGGCCGAATGACAATGATTTTGGGATGGTGGTGGTGGAGACAGTAGCAGCCGAGAGAAATCAACAAATAAACAAGAAATCAACGATTATACATATATATATATATATATATAGAGAGAGAGAGAGACAGAGACAGAGAGATAGATACCCTAGCACACTGACATCAAGAAAACAACCTCACCGAACAGATCGAAGTAAGCGCCGGACTGAGAAATAAACTCACCGGCGATGGGCGATTGAACCCGCCGTTGCTTCCTCACAATCGGTGACCGCGACAGTCACGAAGAAAACAGAAGAGAGAGAGAGAGAGAAAAGAAGTGTGGTTTTGTGTTCCACCATGAAGTTCAGCGGCAGCGGCGGTTGTACTGAGAAGAAATGGGGTTTGGATGGGTAAATTGGTCTATTAAAAATTAATGGGACTTGAAGGAGCAAATAATTTTATCTAGGACCTAATGGAATATAAGTTCACAAAATGGGACTTGTATGTAAATGCCCCTAAAAAATATCTTAGATAAAATCTGAGCTATCATAACATTTATAAATAGGATTTTTAAATAAATAACTCACAATATAACTATGTTAAATTTATGGGGTTCACTTTATTTTTTCAAATCTCAAAAGAAATTATTGTAATTTACCTGTCAATTAATTAATTTTATTTATTTAATTTTTGAATTATTGTAATTTACCTGTCAATTAATTAATTTTATTTATTTAATTTTTGAGAAATGCTACAAATCCTTAAAATATGGCCCCTTAAATTGCTCCTAATAATGTGATAGGGGCTGAGTCTTAAGTACTTGATTTTTAAACCAAAAAATATTGAGACCTCTAACAAATCTCTTCTAATTTTATGATAAATTATCCATCAACTTTTAATTTGTCACAAATTCAATCATTTACTATATCATTATAGATATCTAGTATTCCGCTTTTAAACCAATCAATAAATAACATGGAATAGTTCACATTATTATAAGTAATTTATGAATCATATTTTAAATTTTAAATTTTAAAATTTATTTTATTTTATTTATTTTGTGTATGGTATGGTTAGCCGTGTAATGTACAAGACCACAGCTATCTTCTCCAGTGCTATTGTTTGTTTTCTAAGAAAACATCCTCTGGATATCCAACAACTTTTTAGGTTGTGTTATTTTCAATCTTGAGAGGAGAATTTGTGCTGAACAAATGAGCCAAGCTAAACTTGCACGAACCTTCATGATGGGTCGGGCTAGGCTGGATTTGAGCCGCAAGTACGAACCTAGACATTGATTGGAACTAAGCTGTTCTATGAAGTCGTGCCATAGTTTGGGCTACGCCTGTGACTTGGTAATGGGTCGGACTAGGTCAAGAGTGAGGCTGCGTTGTGGAGCCAAGCTAAAGGTCTTTAATCATGCTAGCCCAAGGAATCCGCATGGCTGTCAAACTATGAGGATTTCGACAAGGGCTAGGTACAAAGAGTCTGGATAACTGGGCTGAGCTATAGAAATAGTTGAATGGCCAACCTAGATTAGCCCAATTGGATGTAGCAGAAGTGAAATCGAGCCAAGTGGTTACTCGATGAAGGCATCCCACATGGCCCAATGGAATAATAAGAGGAATCCGCTCAAAGTACTGCAGACGTCCCCGAACGTCCCAGGAGGGAATCCCATTTTGTTCGTTTGGGCTTACTACAGTTCAGAACTCAATGTCACGGTCCTGTATCTAATCTCGCGGAGTGCAATGCAAGACCGATGAATCATCAAAGAGTCTAAATCCGGCAAATCGTTTTGAAAAACTGATTTTTTAGAAAGAAGTGCCAAACATGGACTGTTTTGCCAGATACAGAGTCGCCACCTAAATATTTTATTTTGGGAGAATTTAGGAAACCCTGACTCGTGCCTAAGGCCACGTGTCCGTCGTCACCAAAGTTGCCTCGGCTCGGGAACTTGGGTACGATTGGGGAAGGTCACTTCGTGAGCACCCCCGCTCGCCCGATCAAAGATCGGCCTCTATTAACCATGATATCGAGTTTTGAAAACATTATGCATTCTTATTCTGGTTATTAGCCTAGATTTACTACGTGATGCGTACAGCATACAAGTATAGACTGGATCGCCTGAATTGGAACAACACATCTCATGTTTGTTTATTTTGAAAATGGTTTGATGGAGCTACCCGCAAGTAGGATAAGATGTGGATTTGCCACCCTCGGGTGGGCTTAGAAAACGTGATGGTTTGCCACTCTCAAGTGGGCTTAAAACTCACAGTCAATGCATTATTCCAATTCAGATAATCCAACCTTCACCCACAGGTATTCAGCCAGGTATATCGCATAAGCACATAGCCTCATGGTAAGCATGCTATCATGGTAGTCACTCACACACATGCAAGGACGCTAAAGCATAAACACTTACCGAGTACTCCAAGCCAAAACAGAAGCTATGTTAGAAATCCATGCATGATCCTAACTATGCTAAAATGCCTAATGCAACACATGCAAAACTGCAACTACAATAGGCTCGGCTATTCTAAGATGGCATGTGAAATGCTATAACTAACAAGTATTCAACTCGGAATTGAAATACAATGCAGTTAGTATGATGCGCCGAGCCCGGTGCATGCAAGACAGATGAATGAATGCAAGCATGCTATCATAAGTATGCTAAAAGGGAGAAAGACGTGGGATTGGAAGACATACATCACACACACGCACACTTATTACAACAATTGGCACTCTCTCGGAAGGTCTGAAAGAATATTACACAACCAAAATAAATAACGAATTATTACACAACACTAATTACTTAACAAATGAATTAGGTAAGCAAAGTAAACTAGCATGCTATGCTACGTGCAATGGACTGCCTCAACTCTATTCCGAATGATAAAGGATGCATGCATACTCGGGTCGCTTTGTCGGGAAATTTCATCGCGACGCCTCGCTTCGCCTTTGTTTGCAATTGATCTCAGAAACTTGCACAAAGCTCCAGAAGGCTGAAACTCCACCTTGGGAAGGCCACCGACCAGTTATTAGCATGGGAGACCACCTGCCGACCACCCTTCGTGGTGGAGACCAAAGAGGGTGGTCGGCCTGCCAGAAAATCTGGTCGGCCGACCAGTTTCCACCTTTGGTTTCTGGTTTTTCTGCAACAAAGGCAAGAGAGAGAAAAGGCAATGTATTTTTAACAAATGTGTGCATGACCACTCTCCCCGTCCTTTCACAAGCTCAAGGGAGTGTAGTCCTCGATTCTTGTGCCACCAATCACGCATTTCGATGCATGATGGCCGAGAAGTCAAATTGCACGACTCGATGTGAAATGAATGCACATATAAGCAAGTAAAGCCAACAACTCTATCATAGACAGTCAAGAGTGTCGGCAATCGAGAATTGAGGCACGTTTTGTAACTTGGAGTACGAAACGTCCCTCGTTTCTCGTGTTCAGACTAAACCCTACTCCAAAAACAAAGCAATGAGATAGCATACACAATGCGACTAACATGCAACCTAGCATACGCAATGCTATGGGCTAAAATAGCATACACAATGCACGCGACATAACATGGCATACACAATGCACTTACGAAGACTATCATGCGCACATGAACTAAATGGCATATACAAATGCAAGATGGACTTACACCAATATGAGTGGACCTCAGCCACACTCACATCAGTGGTCATATGATGGAAATGAGACAACTGAAATACATGCAAACATGCACAGATGCAAATGACCAATCCTAAGGCACAACATGCAACTCTAACTAAGCAGGGCGAAGGATGAAGTATGGCATGCAAACACACATTTTCCACCTCTGAAACATAATGTACAATGGTCCCGAATCATGCAAATATGTCACACAATGCATGCAAGATGGCTCGAATACCGAAACTAGTGAAGCGGGTTACACTAGACGTACACAAAGCAATGTATAAATGGAAAAACCAACATTAAACAGACCCTAGACAGGTCTGAAATAGTGGGAAAATGGCCCAAAATGATGACTCAACATGCAAAGAAACGAAGCTCATGTAATGGTCCGAAAACGAGGCATTTATGCACAACTCTCAAACACGTTTAAAGAGTGGAAATCATGGGAATATGGCATTCATATAAGCTTTGAAATATGATGTATAATGACTCCAAAGCATGAAAACACCTCAGTATATGCATGTAATAGACCTCAAATCTCAAAGCTAGGCATGGATATTGAACTACAAGCATGCAAAACAAGCATCATTCGACCATGAGACCCAAAAACAGAGTTAAGGCAGTCCAAAACATGCACAAAATCAGTTTAAGGCATGGCCAAAAAGTACTAACATGAAGGGCCAAAACAACATGCAACATAGGCTAGTAAGCATGGTTTACACTACATGTATATGAAGCACATGAGGGGCCACCAAACCAGCCAAAAACAGAAATATGGCATGCCAAAATATGATCAAAAATCCACTGAAACTCAGTCAACACATGTTAGAATGAAGTGTTCCTTTGAAAGGTCAATGAGAGGGTTGTTTTACACATGTATGATGGACACACAAAATGGCAAAACTACCTTTGGACAGAGGTTATGACGGCCCTAAAACTCACTGAAAAGGGCCTAAAATGAGTCTAGAAAGCATACAAGTAAAGGCCCCTTTGGAAGGCCTTGAAGAGGATTACTCTACACATGCATAATAGACATTCAACATGGCAAAAAGGGCTTTGGAAAGAGCCTATGCAGGTCACAAAACTCACAAAAAGTGGCCTGAAACATGGCTTTGAAACATGCAAATAGGGGCTCCTTTGTAAAGCCAACAAAGCCAGTAAACAAAACAAGGGGTGAGAGGGCCACCCCTCTCTGATTTTGAGGCTCAAAAAATACATGTTAGCCACTGAAAATCTGTTGGATTTCAGT